ATAAGGGAAAAATACATAATTATCCTTCTAGACAACTCAGCAGACAAATAACAGAAAATGGAAACAGAAAATGGAATTCATCTTTCTTCAGCAACGGATATGTTCCCTTGATTTAAATGTGATGTATTACGCTCCAATAGTCTTGCATGATAAACATTGCCAACTTTGCCTTTTGTTTTCCTTAACAAGAAAACTTGTCTTTTTATGGACTTTTGATTTTTGTAATCACTGCTTGTTTGCATGGAGTTATTAAAAAGTTGATATCAAAATCAATTAATTTTAATCATACATTTTACGAGAGACACAATTTTTATCAATCGTTCAACCAAATTAACATTTCATGAACTTCTATCAAAATTTACTTAATCTTTTATAAATTCTTTGTCAAACTAATTTTAGCCTATGTTTGGTCTTCATTATAGTTTAATACATTTCTCTCTCCTCATTTTAACCACATATTCTCCAATAAAATAATATTATAGATAAACACAAAAAATTTCCTTATTTTTTAACTACACATTCTTTTAAAAAAAAACTATTCCAAAATACATTATTCTTAAAAGCTCGTTAAAATGGATCCCAGTTGATGGCCATTTTAAAAAAAAAAAACATTATTTTAAATATTGAATTTTTGAAAAATGTGTGGATAGAAAAATAGGAAAAAAAATTCTTGAATTTACATTTATAATATTTTATCAAACTTTTTTCATCCGTTTTTCATCCGAACGCATTGCTTCTACCATTGACTTTAGTTTCGGTGACAAATAGAGTGATAAACATGAAAAAAGAAAAAAAAAATTAAATTAGGTATTTTTCTTAAATCAAATTGAAGTAAATGAACAAATATGTAAACAAACACGGAAGTTAGATGATCTCAAGCAAAATCCTCTCCAAATCTTCACGTTATTCTAAAATTTGATAATAACTTTGAAATTTTTGTTACGTACTTATAATTGCAAGCAACTCTATAAATTGAATCATTTTCTTTTATTGCTTCTATCTAATTTTTCTTCTACTGCTTACCTCAAACTTATTGCTCAAGGGACCACCAATACAAAATCAAACGTTGAATAAACAAAAAAAAATTGGAAAAATTTCACATTCAAGAGA